TCCCTGTTCCCTAGAGTGCGTAGGGGGGTGGGTTTTGCAGCTGGACAGTGGGCACCCAATGCTGTTGGTTGTAAGGACTGGGAGGCACCACTTATTCTTGGACCCGTCCTGCCTTACATACTAAAAACCAAACCAAATCTGCTGCCATCGAGTCGATTCCAATTCATGGTGACCCTACAGGACAGAGCAGAACTGCCCCGTGGGGTTTCCAGGGAAAGGCTGGTAGATTCAAACTGCCGACTTTTGGTTAGCAGCCGAGCTCTTAACCACTGAGCCACCTAGCAAAGATTAATTTTTCTCAATTTTAATATAAAAGGAGGTCCTAGTGGGAGGAGGGATGAATAGATGACGCACAGAACATTTTTAGGGCAGTGAACCTCTTCTGCATGATAGTGTAATGGTGGAAACATGATATTATGCATTTGTCAAAACTCACAGGACTATACAACACAAAGAGTGAACCTAATGTGAACTTAGACTTGACATTAATAATAATGTAACAGTACTGGTTCATCAACTACAGCAAGTGTATAGGGCTTGAAAGACAGTATTTGGGAACTCTCTGTACTTTCTCATAGTTTTTCTGTAAACCTAAAACTGCTCTAAGAAATAAAGTCCATTTAAAAAAAAAAAAAAAAGAAACAGGACCCATACCTCACATGATACACAAAAAAAGTAACTCGAAATGGATCAAAGACCCAAATGTTAAAGCTAAAACTATAAAGTTCTTAGAAGAAAACAAAAGGACAAAACGATGGGACCTAATTTAAAAAAAAAATTATCAAACACAACTACAAACACACGAACAGCGGAAGACAGATAAGTGGGACCTCATAAAAATGAAATACTTAATGCTCATCAAGAATAAAATACTGGGAAAAAAATCTTTGGGAACGACATATCTGATAAGGGCTTAATTTCTAAAATATATAGAAAACTTCAACAACTCAATAACAAAAAAATAAACAACCCAATTAAAAAATGGGGAACGAACATAAGCAGACACATCACCAGAGGACATTCAAACAGACAATAAACACATTGAAAGATGTCACGATCATTAGCTATTAGAGAGATGCAAATCAAAATTACAATGAGGTATCATCTCACCCCTGCTAAAACAGCACTAATAAAAACACAGAAAACAGGGGGACCTCATACCATCAAGAAAGCAGTGCCGGGAGCAGAGCGCGTCCTTTGGACTGGGGTCCCTGCACCAAGAAGCTCCTAGTCTGGGAGAACATAGATGAGAAGACCAAGAGAGAGAGAAAGCCTTCACCTGAGGCTAACACCCTGAATTTGGACTTTTAGCCTACCTTACTGTGAAGAAATAAATTTCTCTTTGTTAAAGCCAACCACTTGTGGTATTTCTGTTATAGCAGCACTAGATGACTAAGACAGAATTTAGTACCGAGAGTGGGGTGCTGCTCTAACAGATACCAAAAATGTGGTAGCAGTTTTAAAACTGAATGGATAGACGTGCGGCAGTGACAGAGGACCAGTAGCAGCAGAGAACCTGCAGCAGCAGAGAAATGGCAGTGGCAGAGAACCAACAGCAGCAGAACCAGGAGACCAGTGCAAGATGGCGCTGAAGCCGACCCACGGAGCTAGAGAGCTGAGTGCCTGTGCGCGGGAGGATTCCGAGTGGGGTGCCTCCAGGCACTTATCGGTGGAGCTAGGCTTGCCGACCCACGGAGCGAGAGAGTTGAGTGCCTGTGTGCACGAGGCTTTCTGGCAGAGTGGGGTACCTCCGGGCACTTACTGGTGGAGCTACAGAGCTTTGGAACACTTGCCCCAGCAGGGCAGATGTGGGTGTGAAGCCCGAGGAGCCGAGAGGCCAAGAAACCAGAAAACAAGCTGAAGAGACAAGGGACTCAAGAAGCTGAGCTGCCTCGGTCTCAAAACGTATGGCCATGACCTCAGGGGTTTCAAACGGTGGAGCCATGGCCTCTGGTGTTTCTAAGGGTGGAGTTGTCACTCCAATGGACTGGGAGAATGGTGCCTCTAAAGCCAAGGGAGCAGGGCTGCTGTCCCAGTGGGCCTGGAAAGCGGAGCTGAAGCCCAGGGCCGAGGGGCCTCCACTCAAAATCCAGAGATTGTGGCCAATACCTAGAGTCTGGAGGGCAGGGCCACTGTGTAAATTGTCTCAGAGAACATAGGATTATTTTCAAAGCCTTGAGGGCTAATGTAATGTGTTCTGCTGACTTGCTTGGTGCCTGTTATCACTTCTTTTCCTCTAGTTTCTCCCATTTGTAAGGGAAATGTCTAGCTTGTGCCTGTTCTGCCATTGTACCTTTGGAAGCAGATAACTTGTATTCTAGATTTCAGAGATGAAGCGGAATTTTTGGATTTTGGACTTCGAGTCAAGACTTTTGCTATGATATGATGGGGTGAATATGTTTTCCATGTTGCAAGGATGTGATTTTGGGGGGGCCAAAGGGTAGAATGTCACGGTTTGAAATATGTCCCCGAAAAAATGTGTGTATCAGTGTGTCTGGGCCATGATTCCTGGTACTGTGTGATTTTCCTATATGTTGTAAATCCTGCCTCTATGATGTTAATGAGGGAGGATGGGTGGCAGTTGTGTTAGTAAGGCAGGACCTGATCTACAAGACTGGATTGTGTCCTGAGGCAATCTCTTGAGATATAAAAGACAGAAGTGAGCAGAGAGACAGGGGGACCTCATACCATCAAGAAAGCAGTGCTGGGAGTGGAGCACGTCCTTTAGACCGGGGTCCCTGCGCCAAGAAGCTCCTCGTCCGCGGGAACATCAATGAGAAGGCCAAGAGAGAGAGAAAGCCTTCCCCTGAAGCTGACACCCTGAATTTGGACTTTTAGCCTACGTGGGAAGAAATAAATTTCTCTTTGTTAAAGCCAAAAAAAAAAAAAAAAAAACAAACCACAGAAAACTATAAATGCTGGAGAGGAAGTAGGAAGACTGGAACCCTTATCCACTGCTGGTGGGTTTCTAAAATGGTACAACCAGTATGAAAAACAGCATGGCACTTCTTAAAAAAACTAGAAATAGAGCTTTCTTATGATCTGGAAAGCCCATTCCTAGGTATATACCCTAGAGATCTGTGAACAGTGACGTGAACAGACATACGCGCATCTATGTTCATTGCACCACCATTTACAGTAGCATAATGATGGAAAAAACCTAAGTGCACACCAACAGATGAATGGATAAACAAAATGGGGTACATGTATACAACAGAATACTACACAGCCGTAAGAATAATGAGCACTAGAAACATCTCAAGTGGATGAATCTGGAGGACATTATGCTGAGTGAAATAAGTAATCACAAAAGGACAAATATTTTATGATCTCACTTTTTTAAAAAGATAAAAATAGGTATCTATAGGGAGAATAACATTCATTGGTGGTTACTGGGGATGGGTGTGGAGAGTCACTCTCTAGATAGTTGACACGTTATTTTTGGTGATGAGAAATGCAACCCTGAATGTGGGTGAAGTGTGCACAGCTTGACCAAGGCAAAAGACATCACTAAGATGTACACAAAAAAAAGACCCTCTGATAACTGCTATGGTATATGTAATTTTGCAAGAACAGCAACAGCAACCAAAAACTATACATACAGGTATACATACGTATAGGTACGTATATGGAAGTACATATGTAGGTATGTGTAAGTGTATGTGGAGCCCTGGTGGTGCTCTGGTTAAGAGTTCGGATGCTAACCAAAAGGTTGGCAGTTCGAATCCACCAGCCCCTCCCTGGAAACCCTACGGGGCAGTTCTGCTGTGTCCTACAGGGTCTACAGGTCGCTATGAGTCGGAATCAATTCAACAGCAATGGGTTTGGTTTTTGGTTTTATAGGTGTGTGTATCTGTATATGCATGTATGTGTGTGCATGCATATATAGTCATATATGTAATAAAGCACACAGGGAGCACATGTACGTGTGTGTGTGCATGCATGCACACACACACACACAAACCCTATCGGGAAGATAAGAGGAAAAGAAAACTAAATCCTCATCTATAATAATAGGAAGTCAACTGACAAGATCAAAGAATCAAGAGAGTAGTATAAGGATATTATTTAGAATTATGGAAGTAATACAACGACTAAGAGACAAACGTGGTTGTCTCTGGGCACAGAATCAAAAGACTGGGAAGCAGTGAGACAGGGATTGTCTTAGCACTATCTTAGTTCCAAAGTGTGCGAATATCTCATTTTGATAAAAACAGAAATTAATGTGACACCATGTCTGTTCTTTAGGAGTTTATAGGAAGAAAACGCAAAACAACAAAACAGCATGCAACGGAAGGAGGCGATCTACACAGCAGGGAGGATCCTGTCTCAGTCAGACAGTGAGGCTTCTGAGGAAAGGGGATACTTGAACCTGGGTTTAAAAGACCAGAAAGAGTTAACTGGTCAGAGGAGGGGATGATGGGTGTTTCTTCCAGCAACAGCCTACACATACATGTCCATTTTCTTTCTAAAACACAAATGATAGCATTCTATGCACACACTTTGGTACCCTGCTGTTTTTACTGAAAATAGCTCCAAGACTGTCCCTCAGAAAGCCTAGAACAGCTTTCAGTTTCCCAAGGGCATTTTAGCGAAGTCTTATATTCAGGAAGATAATCTGTTTTTTAATATGCTAAGTACTTATTTTTTATTTGTGACCATAATACGTGTTTTTCTAATTAAAAAAAATTCAACAGTGTAAAAAATTCAAAATAAAAAGTAAAAATCCCCTCTTACTGCCTCACTCCTACTTCCCAAAGACAAGCAATTTTAATTTCAGTATACATCCTCCCAGACCTTTTTCTATAAAAAATGCAGGAATATGAAAATACTATTCAATACAAGCAAATGCAATAATATAATGTTCTACATGCCTACTATATCTTATACACATACTTGTCTATACACATAAAAGGCATTTATAGATATTCTTTAAAGTCTCTTAAAATCAAGGATTCTGTGCTAAGAAACATTAAGAAAATGTACTGGCTGTAACTTACCGACACAATCACAGCACTCATCCCAAAGAGTCCCTAGACAAAGCATACACTCTTTACAGCAGGAACAATTTCCTTCTCCAGGCCGGCACTGGCAGAGCTCCTAAAAATCAGATGTTTAAACTTAAAATTCCAAATAACTATATTTTAAATTGTTTCTTTTTTCAGCACAAAAAATACAACACTTGCATTTACTTTCAATATCATTAACTATTTGTAGGACCATAAATATTTACAAGGCCAAGTAGATATTTTCTTTGTTTAGGACAAATTCAGTAAAAACATTCTGGATGCTTTTACCTTATTTTGAAGCAAATAAAACATTTTCCTTTATAACCTTTAACTTTATCCCTTCACCTCCCCAAAAACAAACAATTCAGTACAAGAACAAAACCTACTTTACAGCTCTGAGATTCACTGTCCCAATTAATCTAAACAGCTGGCCCACTTGCAGTGGCAGCATCCAGGAGCAGCTTGAGGAAGCTTTAGCTCTCATCTTCTCCAGCCCCTTCCCCTCCTTTAAAAGATATGGACAACTGTGGTTTCTCAATCTTATGTAAAGTATGAATAAAAGCACTGGTTAAAAACTGCTATTTTTGTTCCTCTGCAACATATTTAAAACAAACAAACAGTGTGCTTTGTGTGGGAGACTGTTTGTGGAGAAGACTAATTATTCTTCTCCCTGTATGCACCCTCTTTGCAATATCACCTTGCAGCTCCTCCGATCAAGGGAGAGGGTTGATTTCCAGACCCCTGAATTTAGGCGGTCATGAGACTTGTTTGAGCAACAGAATTTGGTGGAAGCAAAGCTGTGTCAAGAAGCCTTGAGTGCTTCCACTCCTTCTCCTAGAACTTTGCCCAGCTGTCATGTGAAGCCTGGCATAACCTGCAAAAGATAGAAGACCTCATACAACAGAGACAAGCTGGTCCAAATGAAACCATCCTAGATCAGCTAGCCACCAACCAACCCAGCAGCTGGCAAGAGACACATGAATGAGCCCAGAAAAACCACCCAGCTGTACGAGGCCTAAATCTCCAACTCACAGAAACAAGAGCTAAGTAAATGGTCATCGTTTCAAATCACTAAATTTTGGAGTGGTTTGCTATTCCACAAAACTCATATAGCTTGCTCGTAAATGAAGCTTCAAGACAATTAATTCCTTTACCCTTGCCCTCACCCTTGCCCACCAGACTGCCACTCCAAACAAACCCAACTTAAATGGAAATTCAGGAGCCATCACTAACTATTTGACTTTCCCTGGTTTAAGAGATACCATATATATTTTATAAGAAAAACATTAATACTTTATGATTTCAATGGAAATAACTATCTTATGACAAAACTGATTTTACTGTCAGGCTTAGGAGGAACCTCACAGGTCAATAAACCATCCTTCCAGCTACCACTTGAATCTCTTCTATAATGTTCCATTAACAAACAGTCATTCTAGCCCACAGCTGATGAATAACTTAATAACCCAAAATAGCCTGTCCCAATTTTGTAACACTCTGATGTTTTCTTATGTTGAACTCAAGTCTGCTTCCCAGCAGCCTGCTCTTTAAGACCCCACCGCCCGACCACCTGCCAACAAATACAATTTCTCTTTAGCAAAGCCATTCTAATTGTTTAAGGTATTAGTTATTTGCACTAGACGGTCTGGAATGTCTGTCCCGCCTAATTGCCACCCATCCCTGACTCCCCTCTTCCTGTGTTTCTGCAGCTACGTTTTGAACCTTTCTTCTCCCTGGCTACATATAATTGGAATAAGGCAGACAATAGACTGAAACTGGGTCAATCAGATACTCCTTCCAAGATTTTGGAAGCGGCACCCACACATTTGTCAATCTTTGCTAAGAATTTGAGCTAGGGGTTGATGCAAGGCTGGGATTGGGGAGACAACATTAGACCACACACATGGTCACAAAGAGAAGAAATAAATAAACGAAAGAGACCCACAGGAAGAAGCAGAAGAGAGAGACCGTATAGCACTGGACTGTTGCTGTTGTGTGCAGCTGAGTCGATTCTGACTCATAGCAACCTACAGGACAGAGCAGAACTGCCCCATAGGGTTTCCAAGCCTGTACTCTTTACGGGAGAAGATCACCAAGTCTTTTCTTCAGCATTACAGCTAATGGGTTCAAACCACTGACCTTTTGGTTAGCAGTCGAGCATGTAACCACTACAACACTAGGGCCCCTTTAACATTGGATAGGGGAGGGAAAAAGTCATTTTCATTCCTAATGATGCTCTACTTCTTGGTTCTAGTCCTAGTTGTACTTCCTGATCCTAGAACCGTTGAGATATTATTAGTTGGAGGAGGCTTTAGTCATTTCCAACCAAAAAGGCCCTGATTAAAACAAAACAGTAAGTGTCTACAACTCGCCTACTAATTTTAAGAAGCCCTGGTGGCACAGTGGTTAAAGCAGTCGACTGCTATCCAAAAGGTTGGCAGTTCAAAACCACCGGTGGCTCTGTGGGAGAGAGATGTGGCAATCTGCTTCTATAGAGATTTACAGTCTCGGAAACCCTATGGGGTCACTATGAGTCGGAATAGGCTTGCTGGTAGTGGGTTTGGTTTGGGGTACTCATTTTAGATCAAATTCTCCCAGAGTTCTTTTGATGGTTCCTAACGATTTGATGTTAAACTGCATCACCCTGAAAAATTAGTTCTGTCATTAGCTAAAAGTATGGTGATCACATATAATACTTCTACTTCAGGGCATAATATAACTAGTAAAAATCAGAGCACACCTCTCCCCTCCTTGATAACTGACACTATATTTTTTTAATTCTAAGTAAGTTTGTTTCGGGTAGCAATATGCTTAGAAAGTAACTGATCTACTTTTAAACTATTCCAATAAATCTGAGACTTAACGGACCACTGCTGATACACATTTTTTTTTTTATTGTACTTTAGATGAAGGTTTACAGAACAAATAGTTTCTTATTAAATAGTCAGTACACATATTGTTTTATGACATTGGTTAACAACCCCATGACATGTCAACACTCTCCCTTCTTGACCTTGAGGACCTTTTTTTGGGTGAAAACATACATAGACAAAGTTACACCATTTCAAAAGTTTCTACGTGTACAATT